TGAGAATACTATTTGTTGCCACAAAGTGGCAGACATGGACAGAAAAAAAAAAACTGACTCAATCATGGTGTTTCAGATGAAGGATCCCAATCCTTCAATGTCTTCCACTTTTGCTGAGCTGCTTCATGGGAAATTTTCAATCAAATAAATGTACGAACATTAATTAATAATTTTTGACCTAAATAATTTGTGTTGTCCTTCGTAAATCTTGTTGTAGATCGTCTCAAGACATGAATGAACAAGCAGTGAGCTGTAGGCTGAGAATAGCCTATCCAACAAGTTAGTAATAATTTCTAGGATTTGTTTTTTATGTTCTCAGAAGAGTGTTTGAAATATGGCAAATAATTTTTGTGAACATAAAATAAAACAGTGTGGTAAATTTGTGCCTGACAACACAAAAGATGGGTGTAAATAAGTGAAACTGGGAAAACGAAAGAGAAACAGAAATGACTCCCTGTTTTTTAATATCTGTAAAAAGAAAAGCTTCACTTTTTCTAATTAACCACAATGCTGAATCATGTTTGATTTTTGGAAAAAAATGTATTTTTTTCCTTAAAACACCACACTCTTTTTATCAGACTTGACAGTGTTGTTAAAATTACTGACTCCCAGAACCTCTGCTCAGAAAAAAATGGCCCCTGAGCAATTTTGATTGATTACCCATTTAGGTACTGCATAAAGTTTATTTCTAATAATAAGGTAATGTTTAGTTCTTACAGAAGAAATGTAAAGAAAGCAAAGTGCTTAAAGTTTTCTGGAAGGTTATAGAAAACAAAGACTTAGGTCGTAATTGTTTGAAATCAGCTATAAAATTTAAAACAAATGTCAAACAAAGCCATCACTGGTGCATGCAGGTGCACAATGCACATGAGTGTAAACCCAGAGAGAAAATTCTGTTTGAGTGATGCTCCTTTTTTTTTCTCTAAGTGAACACTGGCGAGAAGACAAGCAAGTGGCGCCAGCCATCAAGTCCTCCCACCCTCAGAGTGATCTGCAATTATGTCAGGAGAGGAAAATAGTGTCCCTTTGAAAAGTGTTCTTAATCAAACCCAATTATTTCCGCTCTTTTCCCTTATTATTTCCACCGTGGACCACATCCCGCTAGTCAGCCTGTTAACTAGAGCCTGGGCCTCAGTGAAGGTCATGCTTGGTCAAGCAAGATAACATCATAATGCGTGTAATTAATTACTAGTTTTGAGTACGTCATGAGCATATTCTGGGTGTTGCTGCGTAAAGTCTTCCTGACAAAAGTGAAACTAGATGTGGTTTGGATAAACAGTCAAATAGTTCTGATATTATATTAATTTTTAACCAATTTACACGATCAAAACAATGATTATCTTACATAAATCTATTTTTAACTCTATATTCCCAACTTTGTATTGTTTTTTGATGTCCTGCTCAGAAAATGTGCACATTGCTTCATTATATGTTGGTCCAACACTCCTTTATCGATTTACCATCAACATTTCCCCAAAATATTTTATTTTCAAAGTTTAAAGATGGTAAAATTTTTATCAATAAGGGATTCAGATTTTTTTTACCGGTTACATTGCTTCAAAAAAGAGGATTGCAATATTCCTGCAAAAAAAAAGAGGTGAAGTTAAGCGATTATAGTTTAGTCCTTGTGTCCGCTGCAGCCTGGCAGGCTGGGCCCCCTGACACCCCTTGTTGGGCCTGATGGAGTGGAGCTTCATCTGCCTAACAGCCTGGCAAGGCTCCACAGGTCTGTGAGAACACAACAGGCCTTCTCTCTGTCGTAGCTTACATGGGCCTATTGTCAACCCGCGCTCATTAACAGCACAAAGTCACTTTAGTGGCTCGCTAATTGATGTGTGGACAGAGAACGTCTTTGGAAATCAAAGTGCTTCTGCAGTCACACTCTTTAAGTTTATTTTTGATAGTTTCGAAACAAGTTGCACTTTAAAATCACGAATAGGTTATTATTAAAACTGGTTAAAATTATTTACTAAGATCTGCAGACATTTAGAAAGCACTTGATAAAATGATACATTGAAGAAATATGATAACAGCCCAAAATGGCTCACTTTTCTTTTGAATTAAAAAAAAAAGCTCCTTGAATCAGAGGAAAAATGACTTCAGCTTGAGAAACAAGGACAAGTCTAGTTTTGGAAACTCATGGATTTGTGTCTATACACAGAAAAGTTAGTGTTCATATTCACTCCTCTGACATTTTGTCTTTTATCCACATAAAGTAAAAATAACTGCTCTTCATCAAAGAAAACAACATTTCTGCTCTCCCCCTGCAGTTACACACATTTAATGACTGTTGTTTGAAGAATATAAAGAACCTCGACACAGAAATCCTGCAACTAGTTAGTCTCTTTTTAATCTTTTGATTTTTTTTAAATTTGTTTTTATTGTATGTTCTGGTTAATAAACTTCACCAAGCAGTGGTTTTAAAGTCCTTGGGCTGGATGAATGGTCAGATCAAAGTGTAAAGGATCGTCTGTGGAGCTAACCTCCATTCACAAACATTAGCAAATAAAGGCCTCATGTTTCTGCCTAGCATGTCACCAAACAAACACTTAGCTATATAGATTTATTTGAACACTCTCGAGGAGTCACAAAAACTCCTCAGCAATAAAGTGAGGATCATGCTTGACCGACGAGTGCTAAAAGTAACACAACTTAACCAGAACTTGTGAAGCATTTTTCTGGGCTATCTGAGGCCATTCTGTCTGTGACTGAGAATCCAGGGTTAATCGCTTTAAAAGCAGTAATTAGGTGTTAAGATGCATGCTTGTCTGTTTAAATTAGCTTCCAAATCAGATTACGCTCTGTGACTTCCGTTAACCTCCCTTATCAGAACTCAGTGCTCGTCAGAAAGCCATTTTAATTATTTAAATCTCAATGACTCCATTTGAACCACTATCAAGGTGAAATCTGAGTGGACAAGTGGTCTCAAATAGAAGCACTTCTACTTCCTTAACATGCTGGATTAAAAAAAAAACACTACACAAAGCTTGATATATCTTGGGTACAATAAAACAAAAAGGGATTTTTCCAACTAGATATAAAACCTTCAAACCAAAATTTATTGGTGAGGAAGACATCATCACAGTCATCTGTATAAAGTGTTTGAAACATACATTTTACCACCAAAAACAGTCAAAAAAAAGCACAACGTTAAGACAGTCAACTTGTAATTTTGTCATTTTGTCAATGAGATATTAGTCTGTCACAAAAACATGGCTACCTCTGATGAGATGGCTCTAAAGCTTCTATCGTGTGTTTACCAGGTTATGATGAAATCTAAATTCACTGCAAAATACAAACTTGTCACGTTTGTTTACATCAGGAGTGCCACTAAACATTAGGAGCTAAAAACAATTTAAAAAAAGAGCTCTATACATAATATCAAGTTTCTTGAGGCTAAAAACAGTTTATCAAAAATGAGCGTTGCACAGTTCTTTTTTTTACATCTTTGGTATCTTTAGTCCCCTTCAGTCTGACACGAAACAACACAAACATCAGATTGTAAACTTTCACTTTAGTAAACCCAGTCATATTAATCTACGACTTCACATGTGCTGCCAGGTTTTATCCATGGACTGAATGTGTTCTTTAGCCTTCATCCTGAGTGCTGCGATGCTGGAGCTCCGGTCGTCCTCCATGGGATATTTATCGTTGAAGCTGGGCGCGCACTGATAGGGAGGTGGGCCCATGGGCTGCATACTTTGGACCATCCCAGGTGCGCTATTAAGGAAGCTATGGCTTGAATAAGTAGGCTGCAGGGCCTGCGGCGAGCCCATGAAGCCCGGGATGCTGTGCATGGGCGTGGCACTTGAAATGGGCGAGCTTAGCCAGGGATCTAGAGGCATGGGGTTGGCCACGGGCCCCACTTTAGGAGGCATAGGGGGGCGATTAAATGACAGCATGGGGGAGTCATGCAGCTTCATGGTGCTGGTGTCCATTTTTTCTTGACGTCTCCACTTGGCCCTTCGATTTTGGAACCACACCTGGGCAGAGCATGAAAGGCATGAATTTGAAATCAAGCTTTGCGAAAAATTCCTCCACAATAATGTCACGAGGATTGCCGCTAATACTTGCAGATGTACATTTATCTGATATTAAAACTTGTATAGCACAAAAACAGGAAAAAACAGAATTTTCCAGTGAATATTTAACCAAATATGGTGGAATGGAAAATACAGATTTTACCACAGTAATAGAAAATATGTCAACTTTTCAGGACAAAAATTTATATCATTGGTGGTGAAAATGTTGGGGATATTTCACTGCATCATTGACTTGACTTGATTCAACCAAAAATCTATTCAGCTACTCTGCAACATATCCAAGAATGGTTGATCGTATTGTGGGAGTTATTGTCTGAATTCTGAATGAAGCTGATTTGGAGGTAGTGTCATATCATCAAAAAATTGTGAATAATTAATACTGGCCACTTTGCAATTCCTGCAATTAATGCTGCATGATGATGATGATGAAATACTTTTGTGTGCATGTGAGCCCAATTGTGGAAGCAGCAGCTAACCCTAACCCTAACCCTGACCTGAAACACCTCCATAAACCAGAGTGCGAGGAAATCAACAAATAGCCACAATCTTGGCTGCGTGCAAGTTTAACCGTCATCTATTAATTGTCCAATGAATCGTTATCAACTAAATTCCACAATTAATTGTGGTTTTTATTTTATTTTTTTCCAAAATCACCCAACTCTATTTAGAGGTGGAGCTTAATTCACGGCCTCAACAAATCTACCAAATTTTAACTTAAATAACCAGAAAAGAAGACTCATTGAAGCCAACTAAAATGGTTTCTGGGTGAATTAAACTATCATAGAACATGGAAAAAAATTTAAATCCAGCATAAACCTTTTAGAACTGACGTAGTTTTGGAATCAACCCATTTAAAGATGGCCTCCACTGCTAATCAACATTTAAAATGCCAAAATTTAAGTCAATGTTCCTGATAATAAGCTCAAAATTGGTGCTGTAGCTGAGAGTCGTCTTCAACACATACAGAAATAAACAGGTATGTATTAACAGGTGACTGCCTATCCAGAGTACACTGTTCAAACAAAACGTGGCTTTTGGTTTTGCTGGGCCACTCACTGGCTGACAGTGGACCTTATCTGCTCAACTCTTTGGAAAAACCTTTTGGTGCCTCAGCTTGTGTCTTTACCTGAACTCGAACCTCAGGCAGGTTGACCTTCATGGCCAGCTCCTCACGACTGTAGACGTCCGGGTAGTGGGATTTCTCAAAGGCTCGCTCCAGCTCGTGCAGCTGATAAGTGGTGAAGGTGGTCCGATTTCTCCTGTGTTTCTTTTTAGTGTGCTCTTCTTCTTTAGTCGGCTCAGGAGAGCCCTCGGCAGCGTCCACCTCCTTGTGCAGGTTGCCCATTTCATCATCACACTTGTCACTGGAGAAAAGGTCCGATTCTGAAACAAAGCACAGAATGAATTAGCAAAATTCAGTGTTTTTGAGCTCCGCCTCTTCAGTGATACTGATAACTGTTCCTCTGTGAAGCTCCCATTTAAAGTTTACTGTAAATGAATTGTTTAGTTTTGACAGAAAATATTGTTTTGCTTTTTAATAGCATTGATTTCTTTTGACAATTGAACTTAAACTTTCTTTCTTCCTTGTAAAGTGCCATGAGATATATTTTTGTTAACTGACCCAAAATGATAATAATAATAAATAAACAACTAAAAGCTTAATGAAGTTAAATTACATGAACTAATAGTCTAAAATAACTCTAGTTCCACTTACTTCAGCAACATCCTAATCTGTAGCATTTCTGAAAAAAATTGATCTCTGGTTTAGTTTTTTTTTCTTGAAGCAGTTGCATGAATATTATTAAATACATTATCAACAAGCATTTAAGGCATTACATGTTGTTCGTTGTCTAATTTTATTACAAAAAAATGCACTTGTAAAAATGTTTTTAGCAAAAACATGTTTTCAGATGAAAATAAAAGATAGATAAAATGCAAATTATACAAAGAAACATTCAAATGTTTTTATTTTACCTCTCTGTTTTAAAAACCTTAATTAACAATTTGTTGTCAATTAAGTTTACGGCTGATAATTTTAAGTTGCTATTTTTGTGCCTGCATTTGTTTGGAAACTCAAAGAATTTGCTAATCAAGCTGACAATCACTTCTTTTGCATATTCTAGCAGCGTTCCCACAGTAACAGGTGGTAAACCTGCTAAACCTGCAGCTTCCTGCTTCCGCTCATCTAAAAAAACATTTTTGGTTGACTTCTGCAAAAACCAAGTAAACAGTCCAGATCCACACTGTGTTTTATAATAACGAACCACGTGGAAAAACGCACAAAAACTTATTATTCATACTCAGCAGTTTTGAACAGGTTGGATTTTTAAATTTGGAATATTTTAAGCATAAACATTTAGATGACAAAAGAAATGACAGCTTTTCATTACAACTGTATCAACATTGAGCTTCGGCTCATATTCAGTAAATAATTGTATTTTTCAGATGAAGGCAGGGGTTGCTCTTAGAGGACAATATGACCTACAAATACATTTATATTTTTTAACAGCACAGATCTGTCATGTTTAGTTGAAGTTTTTGCAAATTCTTTAAGGTAATGTTAAAAAGGCCAGAAGACATCTTTTATGTTCTTAAATTATTTTAGCAAATGTTGTAATATGGATACAGATATTGCATATAAAATATTTAGTCTGTAAGTTCATTTTTCAACATTATCACAAATAAAAGTTGTATTATAGAGGAGGAAAAATAACTCTTGTTTTTGGTTTGTTACATCAACGACTGTCACAAAAATGTATCATAGAAGTAACTGCACACATGACTAAATGAAAGATAAATCATGTTTCATGAACAATATTGTTTTTATCTCTTAGAATCATCTTCTTTAAGCATCCTTTTCTTTAGTGGACATGTGGATTTGATTTCTTTTATAGGAAAAAAAAGGTCCAAATATTTTAGGAAGTGATTTTTCTCTGATGTAAAGTTAATTAAATAAAACACTGATTCATCCTCATCCAGTTCTACTTTCTGCATCTGCTCATGCTGCACTGCTTCAACACGTTACTTAAATTTGACATTGAACTTTCCTTTTTGATGGACGCAAACCACTCACACATGTTGTACGTTTCTGAAAGGACTCACCATGGTAGGAAGGATGCTGGGAGCTGTCACCAAGTTCTGAAAGGTGCCCGTAGGGGTCTGAGGAGACCTGCTTTTCAGGATCCTGGAGGTTTGCTCCATTGACTTTTGGGCTGATGCTACTTTCTACTGAATGGAGCAAAGATTCCTGGTCTTTAGTGAATCCCAGAATGACATCGATGCTGTGGACCCTGCCTCCATTGCTCGACCCGGGACCTTTAGCCATGTCATAGTTGTCTACTATCCCATGTCCGGTATCGTCCACTATTCCAAGGGTATCCATTGACAAATGCATCCGAGCCTTTGGGAACACTTTCTCTGATTCTTGTCAGGAAAAAAAAAGGCTACCACCTGTTACAAGGCAGTTGTACTAATATTCAAAGATGTCGGATCTGTGTTTTCCAAGGGTCTTTTCAGTGAGCTTCAATGAATCATTTCCACATGAGGAGATCTAACTTGCATCTTTGTCTGCAAAAATGGAGAAAACAGTCAAAGTCTAGTAAGACTGCATCATGCTAAGACTTGAAACAGAAAGTGACAACACATTTTAACAATCATTATCAAACATTTATTTTGATGACAAGTGGTAAAATCCTCTTTTCATGGATGCCAGTTTTCAAGTAATATGAATGATCAGCTGCTCTTCCATGTTATCAGGCCTTTTTTTACAAAAATAATTATAGCTAATAAGCTCTTTTTATGTTTCTCCAAGCACATCTCCTTGTTTATAACTTTTACCCAAGCGTGCTTCAGATTTAGCTTAAAACTGCACCATTTGAAACCATTTGAAACAAGTCTGACTTCCATCATTTTTAACGTCATTTCCTGAATTTCCAGAATAAAGAACAGAAAACGGTCTTACCTTTGTTAGGTCTCTTGGTGCAGGCTACAGTTCACACTGTGTCTTTGTAGTCCATAAGCAGACAAATGACACTAACAATGTCTACAGTAGGCACTTGTTACTCCCAGTTAAGTCCTTGAAATCCCCTGCAAACAAGTGAGCAAAGGACCTAATGCTGGAGATCTGTGCAGCAACGACTTGGAACGTCTTTCTCTTCTGACAAAACTCTCCTTAACCACACGAGACACCAGAGCTGCTGGGGGG